AGGATACAAAAGAGCCATACACATGGAGAATCAGGAATCAAATAGTTAGGAAAGACACTCAAGTAGGCTTAATTTATGAGGGCCTGATTAGTCTGGAGTCACAATGGCAGAGCACAAGCACAAGCCTGTTTCCATATATGACACAGGCCTAGAGTATCGTACTCTAGAAGTTTATTCTTCAGTCTGTCTCATGATTCCAAAGGATACGGAAACAAATATTTTCAGGAAACCAGCATAACTGAAAGCTGACATATTCAATCTCAGGCTGCGACACAATGAAAAGATGCAAATAAACAATTAGGAAACAATATTTGCAGTTTTTATTGCCGTGCACTGGGTGATATCTTCTCACAGACAGTACACCCAACTAACCCAATCAAATCCATGCATATTTTTTTCGGGGGGAGGGGAAGCATTCTAACATCCTAAAGTGATTACAAATTGGGTGATTCATAAGTCTTTCACACTGCCTTTGACTGAGGAGAAAGGAATCTCTGCACCATAAAACTGAGCTTTCATGAGCAGCTGCATTTCCTCTGTGCCAAGTGGAGATGCGGTAACTAATCCAGAAAATGAACAGAGCAACCGTCTTGCAGGATAAAAAAAATTGCTTGAAAGCATTCAGCAAGTTCACATGGGTCTCTGAGTAAAAAGATGGCAAGTATTCTGTACTCATTTCTCTAGATATTAACATCAAGACTGCAGCTCTCCTCTGCCCCACACTATTTGGCAAAGCAAAATTCCTGCAGTTATTCCAAAACTGAATGTTTCCATACTTACACATGATTATCACAGGAACTGTGGGAAGAAATAGCCTGATCTCTTCAGGCTTCATGCTGATGCTGGTAGAAAGGAAGCAACAGTGAATGATCCCACACGCCACTGGGATCCATTGCAGAGACGTATGTTAGGACAATGCACACCCTGCTTGGAGGGGTGTCTATATCAGTGCATACACATCCTAAGGGTGATATTTAAAATACTAAAACCACAAGTTTCCAAATTGTCCAGGGGAAAAACACACACAGAGAGACTTTAATTGTAGCACAATCCTTGCAGGACTGCAGCTTAATCAGAGCGTGATCTCAAGCCTCAGTTCAGACCGACTTGTATAAAAAATAAATTGGGCTTATTGAAACCTGGGAGAAAAGTTGACAACACAACAGTTAACAAGTAACCCAGGTTGATAGCCTCCATTAACCCTAGTTCAGCCTTGATCTCTACAATGCCCTTAGATAACTTCACTAGGGCATAAGTTCTCCAGTGGTTTTACCATAGAGCACCGGGGGCTATGAACCACGGGACCCAGAGAAGCAAGGATTTATAGACCCACAATGAGAACAGGAGATATGGCATATCAGTGGCTGGTTCCCAGTTTGTCCTATTTCTCTGACATGTCACTGTTCCTCTTGCTGGTGGTGGAAGTGAGGCGTCTGTTGTTGTGGCCTCCGGCACCACAGTTCCATTAGGGTCAGCTCTCCCTCCTGATTTCCCACCCCACAAGAAGTCTGAGGCTCAGGCCAGGCACCCCAGTAGCTGGGATGAGGTAAGTGAGGAGTATGATGTTTTGGCTCCTTGCTCTTTGGTACCCTCAATTCCACCAAGTCTTCAGGCCGAGGATCAATCCTTGACCACAAAGTCCCATTCCTGGATCGGTTTAGGAACTCCACTATCTGCCTTTTCCACATAGGTTTCCCCAACACCTCTTTTGTGTCCTCTCCAAATTCCCTCCTTCTATATCTTACCTCCTCTATCACCACATTGGACATCTTGCCTGTGAATGTGAAGCTCTTTTTTCAGCTTGTTCTGCTACCTCTTCCAACACTCATTTTATAGTTCCCACCCCCAGCTTCATTCTGCTTCTGCTTTCTTCCCTCAATAGTGTCCCCATTTGCTTTGGTAGACTAGGCTTTGTTTTGGGAGAATCAGACTGTTTGCACAGCAGTTTCTCTGGGCCCTCCTCAGGTAGAGCCTCCAACCAGGCCTCAATTTGTGTGGTGCCTGGTCTCTGGCTTTTCCGGTTTTTGTATCTCCCAGTAGAGCAGGTACATTGTGCTCTTGGGCCCTGGGCTCGGGTTGTATAGCCCACCAGTGGCATCTCTGCTGACTTCCCCTCTCGGAAATTTAAACATTAATGCAAACACACAAGTACCCACTTCATCCTGCTTTTCAATGTGAACCTTCTCAGTTTTTATCTGATATCAGTTAATAATTAGAGCATATAATTGAATAAATATGTACACAAAGACAATTGTGAAGGATTTGATAGGGAGTGGAGTTTAAAATGCATCAAGTCTACTTTTGTAGAAACTCATTGGGCAGAAACTTATCGAATTTGAAACCATCCTAATCCCATTTCGAGTTCATTGGATTTGGATGCCTTCAGGTGTTTTTTTTAAATGATATTAATTCTTGCACATAAAAAAGCAAATAGGTTGTCACAGCAAATAGGTTGTCACAGAACTGCTGGATAGCTCACTCTCCTAAGCATCTGGCTACAGAGCCAGAGGATGGGACCTCGATTCTCCACTGTGCCTCCTTGACAAGAGCTGAACTTGATGATCCATAGAGTCCCTTCCAGCCCTATAATTCTAAGATTCAGCTTTGATTCTCATACTTTCATAGTCTGCATCACAGATGTTGTTTTTTTTTTAAAAAACAAACATGCAAGCCTTAACAGATATTGCATAATTAAAAGCTTTAGCTTGTACTCTTAATCTCAGTTTAGAGGTAAACAAGTCAAAGAAAAAAAGGCAAAACAGAACTACAAGAGTTCACAGTATGTTTAACTTGATGATCCATATGGTCCCTTCCAGCCCTGTAATTCTAAGATTCAGCTTTGATTCTCATACTTTCATAGTCTGCATCACAGATGTTGTTTTTTTTAAAAAAACAAACATGCAAGCCTTAACAGATATTGCATAATTAAAAGCTTTAGCTTGTACTGTTAATCTCAGTTTAGAGGCAAACAAGTCAAAGAAAAAAAAGGCAAAACAGAACTACAAGAGTTCACAGTATGTTTAGGCAGGAACTTGAGGGAGGAAAATGTGATTTCTTCACTGTTCCGACATAACTACCAAAGGTTCACATTGTGACTTGACTCAGTTTTAGAGCAGACTGAGAAGAGATGAACCCATGATTAACAGCTGCTCATCTTCAACAGAGAACTGGGAGTTAACAAGCCACTTGATAACGAAAACTGGAGGATGACATCTTGGTCTTAAAACACATATAATACATAGGCGCCGATAATCGGATATCATGGAAGCATTGAACTTGGTCTTAAAACACATATAATACATAGGTGCTGATAATCGGACATCATGGAAGCATTGAATCCTCAGCATGAACTGTACTGCTGCTCA